ATCTCAGCCAGTGTACTTTATCTACGTCATTTGGGAATATCGGCGAAAATTATTGTCAGTAGTGGATAGCGGCTGAAAGCGTGTTACATCCCGTTTGTTAATTAGCTATTATACCTCAAACCCTTGCTCCCTTGCAAGAAATGGAATTCGCTCCGTATAATATTTATACTTGACCGATCATCTTACTGATATCTGCATGTCCCACGAACCTTGGATGCCCAACATCCCAAACTACAAATGAAATATCTACGAGCTGTCACAATTGCTAATCGTTCTATATTCCCAATTTCAATTTAGATAATCCGAGCTAGAAGTCCAAATAAAAGCATACAAAATCTCCAGTGTAATAATAACATGATTCAGGTCCAAAAGAAAAGTAAAAGGAAAGGAAGAGAAATAGCCAGGGTATTGTTGACAGTAATGAGAATCGTAAGTCATCATAGAGGAACAGTCGTCATAAAACCATCAGAAAGTTGAATTTCGTTGCCAAAAAGAAAACTCGTCCTCCCCCTTCGAATTCGAGATGACACTTCGCATAGACTTACACCGCCTTTGGAATTGCAATCAGAGTAGTATGCCGCCTCCGCAGAGATTGCCAATAACTGCCACAGGGAACCGCCGCTTCAAAATCCGAGAAATAGCGCCCACGTAGAGAAAGCAATCTTCATCTGTCAGACTGTCACCCGGCACTAACTGACTAGTTAACGCCGGGAACAATCCCTGCAAATCCCGCAGTACAGGTCGCTCGCAATGTCCCCGACTTTTCTAGAGCACGAGCAGTCGTCGTTGAAGACGGTTTCCACCGCTCCGCACCGATAGCGAATGACTCGTTTACACATATCGGCCTATGGGAAAGTGTTCCGTACAATTGACTGAGCGACTGGATGTAAGGCCCAAATCCACTGTCCTCAAACGGATGAGACCTTGAACGCAGTTTAATCTCAGAAATGGCTGGATTCCTGAAAATAACGTTGGTCGACAAAGCAATGGGGATCAGTAGCCCAGCGTCAAGTTGATGCTTGCTGTCTGAACTAGCCAGAAATTCACGATTTGGTTTCGGGTGTATAGCAAGCTCTTTGTCTGAAGTCCTTTCCAGCCATTAGCAAAAATAATAACGTTTAATTGCTGCAAAAACTTACAGGCTAAGCAAGCACAATTGCGTTGTTTTTCGGGTGCTTCTCTTTTTGACGATCCGCTGAGACACCGAAACTATGAGCTTTGCTGTCGGGGGGATATCCGCAAGAGGGGCGACGTTGGAAGACTGAGTCCAAGTAGAAGGACGGTGTATCGAAGAAGTAATGTCAAACAGCTCAAAGCCTGACCCGCAGACTATCAAACGATAAGGAGGGAAGTCTTGAAAAGGTAGCTAGAATTATATCCATGAAAAGGAGTATAGTCTGAAAAAAGGAGAGGAGAAGAGGGAGAAGCCACAACCTTTTATAGACTCGATAGGCGCCATCGAGGACGAGTTTAAACAGCCTCCAGGAAGTCCGTAGGCTCGTTACACCCGCCCGCTTCCACCGAGTAACAGTGATAAACTTTTTCGGGCTGGTTTGATTGATTCGTTAGGCCTTAACACCATCACTGGATGGGTTTCACCAACTTTAACTTCCCCGCAAACAAGAGATACAAGATGGCCCAAAGTGGGAAATAAAGGTCGGTAAGGTAGGGCACCCGATTGCCTCTCAAGAACGGAGACGGCCATATCGGGTACTTAGAATAGATCTCGGGATTGAAGCCGTTGATAACAATGCCGAGTATATACAAGGGCTCACGCAAGCCAGGGATTGGCCAAACACGAAATCATACCTTTCGTATGATCTCATCGCTGTCGCATGCATTGATAAAGATGTGCAGGGATCGCAATCTGTTTATAGCAGCTCCCGGGAGGTGTGTGGCAATACACTTCCATGCCACGGTTTGCCGCTATCTAGGAACAGCGTACAAGGGGCGGGAGCTGAGCCAATATGCATCGCTAGACAAGGGTAGTATTAACGACCTGATGCCTTTCCAAAGATATCAGGCAAGGCGTCGACCGCCGGGCAACATGATGGCAAACTCGCTCGCATGCTTTGACCTCCTTGAACAACGCATCCGGTCGGTCACATTCGGGCTAACGAGGCGGAGATGAGGGGAAGACGAAGGCCACGGTCACCTCAAATGGCACCCCCAGCCAACAGAGATACGAATTAGTAGAAGCTGGGAGCCGACGAACCGTGAATGGGCAGATGACTTCCTTGGAGATGAGACATTGGTTTGCTCACCGCATCTGAGCCTCAACATGGTCTTGCTTCAGATAGAAGCGCCCTGGCTGCGATGCGGTGAAGCCTTGGGCCGTCGACTAGCAAAAGCCCGACAGTTCAATGATCTGCTCTGTGGGCATCCCGAGAGACACCGAGAGTTCTCCCTGCTCCATTGGCGCACATCCATCTCAAGGTAAGTCACACCGTCTTGGCGCAGCGATGCACAATGACATCAGTTTGTTTGTCGTTCTTCTTCAGACGCGATGCGCTTGTGATCGCAGTTGTTCACGCATAAAGGCTCTAGGCATGTTCAAGGAATCGTGCGTCGACAGTGCTCTCAAGTGAGATAGCAGCGAGACATTTGCTAATCACACAGTACTATGCACGTCTCAGA